TACCAAGCTGCTCTGCGAGGAGTCGGCCCTTCTCGGTGGGAACAACCCTCTCTTCCTCCATGTCACACTTGTTCCCCACCAGGATGACCTGCGCATTGTCCCAGGAGTAGGTCTTGATCTGAGTCGCCCTAAAGAGAGACAGAGAGAGGCCTGTGTTCATGACACCCTCCTAGATGCAAAGGATCCTGCAAAGCTGGGGGAAGCCCCTTCAACAAGACTAGTAACTCCTGAGTTACTGTCAACTAATTCAGCCTGGGACAGTCAGACCTCTGCTCCTGTTCACTGTCATGGACGCTGACCTCTACGCCCTGGTTGTACGTCACCCAGCTATCTGGAGCCTTCCTCTAATGCGTCTCCCCATCCCTCTCGCCACTGGACAGAGGGTTCTTTCTAAAATACCTATCTGACCACAACACATCCTTTCCTTAAAGCCTTCTGTGGCCCCTGGACTAACTATGTAATGAAGTCTAGATTCCTCAGTTAGACGTTCAAGACCGTTCACATGCTTCTCTCCAGTCTCACTACCTTTCCTCCCACTTCACAAATGTTCTCACCCATCCCTTAAATGCTCTCCCATGGCTCGTGCCTTTGCTTCTACTGGAAATCCCTTCCCCACCCTGACTTGTCTTCCAGGCCCAGGGCTGATCCCACAGTTGCTCAGGGGAGGCTTCTCCGGCTTCGCCAGGCCCAACCAGCCTCTCCCTCCTCCTCTGCGATTCATAAATCTTCACTGGGCCTTAGATTATGATCATTTGTAGAAACCAAGATGTCAGCAGTGGTTTCCTTCAAGCAGGATGATTATGAAATGTTTAAAAAATACTTTTCTCTGCTTTTCAAAGTTTTGAAAGTGAACATTCTATAATGAAGAGCAAACTTTTAAACAGAGGGAATAAAATCAGACCTTCATATCAAAGAGACACTTTTTTGTGGGGTGGGCCTAACTCTATCCCCAGTCCCCTCATCAAGTAGAAACGATTCCCTCATCTTTTTCCCCTGCCTGTTTGCCATAGCACCTGTCACATTTGGCTAAATTCATCTGTCTCTCCTTGAGGGCAGGAACAGGCTCATTCATCTTTGAGGTTCCAGCCCCCAGCACAGGGCACAGAAAAAAGAAATTGTCAGTGAACATCTTCAGAAGGAACAAGCCAGCAAGTGGTTAATCCTGAAGCAGATCTAAATAAAACCTGACCCTCTCCTGGTGCTGACACTCACTCTAACTCAACCCTAACCTGGACTTATTACCAACCCTGCTCCTAAAGCTGATTTCACCACCAACCTTCTCCTTAAGGGTGAAAAGCCATTCCCCCAAAGGATGGAATTCACTCAACCACTATTTGTTGTGGGCCAACAGAGAGCCAGGTTCCGAGCTGGGCACTGGGGCTTACATGGCAGGTGGGGGCTAGACTAGGATTGTGTTTCTCAGAGGCAAAACTCAAAGATCAGGGCTTGGGAAAGATAGACACTCGGTCTTCAGCTTCAAGGAAGGTACCTGGAGCCAACGCCCCACGTCTCTCACACTTCTCTTCTGTCATCTTCCTCCCTCCTCCCACCACCATCCACTCTCAGCTCCCAGATTAGAGACTTAGGTTATTCTTGGATGAATCATCACCAGGTGTTAGAATCACTGTGTTCCTGAGGCAGGATGAACAGGGACTGATGGAGAAAGGGAAGGAGGTCAAGGCCAACAGAGAATGAGCAGTAGGCAGACACTTAAAGAGCTAATCACTTCATGGTGAGAGCTGAGGGGAAAAGATGGAGAGGGAGGGAGAAGGGAGGAGGAGAGAAAAACCATGACTGGAAGGAAGAGAGGAAATAAAGGAGAAAAGCAGGAGGAAAAAGAGGTATAAAGAGAGAAAAAGAGGAAAAAGAAGAAGGAAAGGAGAAAAAGGGAAGGTGGTGAGAAGGGGCTGTTAAAAAGGCAGGGGAAGGACAGAGGAAGAGAATGACCAAGAGCCTGAGGAACGTCTGAGTGACAATTGCTCGCTTCGTCGGCACCCTCCACTGCTGTTCAGAACTGGAGGGTGGGGCAGGCAGCCTGCAAGGTCGCTCTGAGCTCAAGGTTCCAAGACACAAACAGCACTTCACATAGTCATGGTAACTGTTCCTTGGGAGAAAGGGAAATCTTCAAAGGGCAGCCATGGGCAAAAAGAGCAGGAGATCAGCTTGGCACTGGCCAGCGCTGCTGCTGTATGCCCGGCCAGCTCAGCCTCTCTGCTTGTGAAAAGCAGCCAGGCACAGATGCTCCCTCTTCCCCCATCCTCATCCTTTCCACCCAGATGCTCCCTCTTCCCCCATCCTCATCCTTTCCACCGATTAGGGGCATTGGGTCCTGGCCCCTCCCTCTCACCTGTCCTTCCCCTCCTGCTCCCTTCTCTCTGTGAGTGATGCTCCAGGAAGAAAGATTTCAGTTGCTCAGACGTTGTACCTCTGGGGAACTGTGCTGATTTCTACTGTATATTGGACCTTTATGAACTTGGACCCCCCTGCCCAGCCCAGGGACAAACTTTATAGGGAAGCAAAATGTGGCTTCAGTTAGTACAATGTCCAAAATTACCTTTCTAAAACACTAATCTGAACCTGCTGGTTCCCTGTTCAAATGTCATTACTTATGGGATAAAATCCAAATTCCTTACCCCAGCACACGAAATCCTTCATGACCTCTGCTCTTAGCCTCTCACCCACCTTCTCGCCTTTGAACATCTGTACCCTTTTTCTGTAACAGTCTTATCCATTTGTCCCTCTGGCTAATCCCTTCATCTTACAAAATGCAGCATGTGGGTCAGCAATTCCAGGACACTTTCTCTGACTCCCTAAGCTGGGTCGGAGCCTCCGCTGGGTTCCCAAAGCCCTGGTGCGCTGTTCATCCCTGCGCCTGTCACATGATATTTTCATTGCCGGCTCACTGATCTGTCCTCTCCTCTGTGAACTTTCTGAGGACAGGATGCATGTCTGATTCGTGCAGGCTTCCCTAGCACATAGCACGGGGCCTAGCACAGGCTAGGTTTTCATGAACAATTTAATGAATGGATGAATGAATGAATCTCATACCAGTCTTGGACAGCATTGAAAGACTCCTCATTGGTGATGTCATACATCAGAATGAAGCCCATGGCCCCGCGGTAATAGGCTGTGGTGATGGTCCTGTACCGCTCCTGCCCAGCAGTGTCCTGGGTGGGAAAAGGAAGGAGTCAGTCTCCTAGAAAGTCTGCTTTTGTTCCTCAAAAGTCCCCAGGACAATGAACTAATAATTCAAAGTATATTTAGGGAGCATCTATTATGTGTCTTGCACTGTACTTGGTGACCAGAATAAAATGGTTTTTAAGATCTCATGGAAATTAATAAGAAAATAATTAAAATCCCAATAGAAAAATGGGCAGGAGGAAAGAACAATTCACAGAAGAAATGTAAATGGATAATTATTATATAAAAAGGTGGGTTTTTTTTTGAGGTACAATCAATTTATAATGCATCAATTTCTGGTGTACAGCACAATGCTTCAGTCATGCATGAATATACATATATTCATTTTCGTATTCTTTCTCACAAAAAAGATCTTAAGCTTATTTTTAATTATAATTATCATCATAGATGAGGCTGTAGCGAGATGTGCAACCTCATACTTTGCTTGTGGGAGCGGAACTTGCTTGGTTCAGTCTTTCTGGAAATCAATTTGAAAGTCCCAAGAGCATTAAGAATATTTGTACCTTTGACCCAGAAATTTTTCCTTCTAAAACTTTTTCTACAAAAATGGAAAATCAGACAAATACTTATGCACAAAAGTGTTTCTTACAACTTTACTTAGACAGTGAAAAAGTATCACTGACTTATACATTCAACAATAGGAGAATGGTTGAAATACAAAATTTTTAAATGTGTTTATTTATATAAGAATATTTAATATAAAGGATCAACACTTGTATATGTCATATAATGACAGTTTCATAACTATATATGCGGAAAAGAAAACTGGAAAGAAACACATCAAAAGGTTAATAGTGATTATCTCTGTATGAGAGATAGAAATTACCAAGATTTTAATTTTCTTCTGGAATTTTTATTTTCTCTCTGATAAGCATGTGTGACTTAGATGAAGAGAAACAAATACATATTTTTGCTAATAAATAATGACTAAGGCAATTCTTCGTCTCAAACAGCCAACAGTCTAGTTGAAAAAACAAACATGTAAGCAAGCTAAGACAAGCCCAACAACTGACTGTTACTAGAGTACACAAGGATGCTTCACAAGTGTCCACATGGTCCCCATGTGAGGGACCAAGCAATCTTCCCTATATCATTACAGTTTTAGATGTGTGATAACTTGAGCACATATAAAACATTTCTTCATGTATTATCTCATTTAAATTTTTAAAAATCTCTGTGACAAAGGTATCAGTATTTACATTTTGTACTTGGGAATGGAAAAAATGAAGAAAAGGTATGTGACTTTTCCAAGGTCACAAAGCTGATTACAAAAGCTATGCCTTAAATCTAAGACTTCTGATTCCAAGTCCAATGCACATACCATTACACCTCAATCAATGAAAGATTTATCCACAAGCATTTACTGAACACCATCTATAATGATAAAAATAAATAATGGGACAATGTAGTCTGCCATGATTTGGACATATATTGTACCTGTTATCTACAAACTTTAGACAAACCCCGTAGGGTACATATTATTACCCCTATTTTACACATGAGAAAACTGAAGGTCATAAATACTGCCCATTAAGTGTAAGAATTGGGATTCAAAACAAGTCTGTCTGACTCTTGGCCCCACCGCAGTATACTGCCCTAGCCATGAACCACACTTGGAGTGATACAAAAATGGAACAAGCACCATCCCTGCCCTCAGGAAGCCTCAGAAAAAGTATAGAGGTGGCTAAGACATACTATCGAACTGATAACTAGCAATATGTGGCAGTACATCATCAGTACCAGACAAGTGGCATAAGTGTATTTCATAAGTCAAGTAAGGTAGAAACATGGTGGTTTGGGGTAGTTATGAGAGATGTCAAAGCAGAAATAGTGTACCAGTTAGGATAGATTGGGTTATTCACCAAAAAGCAACCTCCAAATCTCAGCAGCTTAAACAAAACATTTTATTTTTCACTATTATTGTGTATCCATCAAGGGTTGGCTGGGTGCTCTGCTTTTTGTCTTCCTCATTCCAGGATAAAGACTGACAGAGCAGATACCAGAGGGAAAGGAAGTGTGTGAGTCACGTGTTGGCTCTTCCACTTTTCCCATTTCACTGGCCAAAGCACATCACATGCCCACACCCATGAAAGCCACAATCTTATAATATGCCCAGGAGGAGAATGGGAAATGTGGTACCTGGTATAACAAGTTCCATGGGTGTAATCTGTACTGAGTCCAGGATCATTATCTAAAGATGTGCTTACTTGGCAATAGAAGGAAGACAACAGAGATTTCCCTAAAGAAGAACTTCTAAACAGAGAAGTGAAGGAAAGGTATTTTGGCAGAAGAAAGAGTTTTTACCAATGATTACACCAGAAGAACTTATGGAATGGTGGGAAATGGGTAGGCAAGGAAGCTAGAAAGAACTCTGAAGGTCATGGTGTGGAGTATGAACTTGATTTTTTAGGATCAAAGATTTTGAGGCAGGGGATTAATGCGATTCAATCTGAACTTTAGAAAGATCACTCTGACTATGATGTGGAGAATGGACTGGAGGGAAAAGGGATAGGAAGCAAGAATGCTGGTTAGAAGATCTTTGCAGTGGTTCAGGTGAGAGCCAGTAAGGATCTGAACTAGTGGTATCAATGGGGTTGGAGTAGAAACAGACTCAAGAGGTATTTAAAAGATGAATTACAGGGCATGGTGAGAGATTGAGAGATGAAGAGATGAGAAATCAAAGATAACAGTTATGTTTCTGGCAGGGCTCAGCTTCTTCATGTCTCAGCAATTCAGCTCTGGCCCAGACTTGCACACATTATTCAGCAAAACAAAATCTGCATTAACATAACCACCATCCTTGGAGAGCATATGAATCACCATCTCCTATTTGTTGAGCATGGTTTTTGGGTGTCTCACTCTTCATTTCAAGCAGCTTATCAGAATATTCCTTCTGATCACGTAGAGTACTTCTCCCTGAGAGTTCTGGCAAACAGAATTTTATCCAGCTCATGAATGGGTGAATGAATGAATGAAGAGACAGATGAGTGAGTGAATGAGTAAACATCTAACACTGGAATCTTAGGCACTAATATTAGAGTAATATTCACTGTCTGCCATATGTGCACAAAAGCTTGGTGGGTGGGTGTACCTATGAAACATTGCAGCAGAATTTGGTCTACCTCCCATGCTCTTAACTCTGCTTCCTGAGCATCTCAGAGCCAACACCACAGATGAGACTCTTCCTGTCAGTCTCTAAGCTCAGACCCTTAATCTTGACCTGAGGGTTTAGAATTAAGCCACCTGTCCAGACTAGTGACCTAGAGGCACAAGCAGGATTTCTGAGCAACTGCACTGCCAGCAGATCTCAACTCTTCTCACTCTGCCTGCATTATACCATTTCTCTGTGAGAGTTTCTAGTCTCCCATATCTGCCTGGAGCCTGGCCCTGTGCCCCAGCTCTTTGACAAAGAATCCTGTCACCTAATTGAGGCCCAATTAGTTGGAAATCTATATGAATAATAAATGAGCTGGGACATGGAATCAGGTTCACCTCTGTACTCTCAGTGCCTAGCACAGGGCTATGCACACAGTAGGGATTCAATGGCCCCTTGTTAAACAGAAGGGCCATATAGTTTGAGGTTAGAGCACAGTCTCTGGAGTTAGACTTCTGGATGTAAACCCTTGTTCTACCACTTACTAACTATGTGGAGATGGTAGGCAGCCTCTAAAATGACGCCCAATGATTGCCGTCTCCCGGTATTTATGCTCTTGTGTAATCCCCTCCTGAGACTGGGACAATTTACTTTTGGGGGCCTCCATTTCTTCATCTATAAAATGGGAATAATAACCATTCATATTCACAAAATCATTATGAATACTAAGAAAGTTATATCTAAAATGCTTGGAACAGTTCCTAACACAGAGTTAGTGCCATTTAGGCATTATTTTTGTCCCTCCACAGTCAGCCCAGGAGCAGGGCCAGCCTCCCAGGGCTTGCCCAGCTGGAGTGAATGAGTCTCAGGCCATGTGCCACTTCCCTCTCATTCAAACCTGACCAGGGATGCCTCCACCCAGGGTCTCAATATGACACTTCCCTCAGAGAGCAGAGAATGGCCAGACAGAAAGGGAATGGATGAGTTGAAAGTTGAGCAGTCTTTGGTCTGACTCCCAGCTCTGCCACTCAGCAACAGTGTGATTTTGGACAGCTTGGTTGTATTTTTTTTTAATCTCTCTAAGGCTCAGTTTCCTCATGACTGGAATGGAAACAATAATGCCTACTTTGTAGGGTGTAATTAAATAAGATGTTTTTTAAATGTATAGTTCATAATATGCACTCAATGTAGGAGTATTTATCATTTTCATTTTTAAAAAATGAAGTATAGTCAGTTTACAATGTTGTGTTTATTTCTGGTATACAGCATAGTGATTCAGTTATACATATATATATTATTTTTTTCTTTTGATATTCTTTTTCATTATATGCTATTACAGGATGTTGAATATAATTCCCTGTGCTATATAGGAGGACTTTGTTGTTTCTCTATTTTATATATAGCAGTTAGTATCTGCAAATCTCCAGCTCCCAATGTATCCCTCCACCACACCCCTATTATTTCATTACTGTTTAACTTTTCTGAGCCTTAATTTCCTCATCAGTAAAGTGGTGATAAGAATACCAGCCCTGAAGTGGTTGTATGAGGATCAGAGATAATGCGCTGGTGGAGCCTGGCACAGTGCCAGGCGCATGGTCAGCACTCAGTAAAGCTCAGAGCAGCTGCTGCTGATACTGCTGTTGTTGTTATTTCACCTAAAGAAAAGCAAAGCTGGAGGCAACAATCCAGCTCTCACTATCCTGTGCTCAGTGGAAAGTAGCTCAGAGAATTGCTCCTGAACCTCCCTCTCTCTTTTATTTTTAAAAATCACTTTGACGAACATTGATTCCCCTCCCACTGATGAGAGTCAGAAATAGAACCGAAGAGGAGACAGGAAGGAGGAGAGAAAAAGAGGCATGACTCACTGGCTAC